GGTGCACCTCAATATTAGGAAGACATTCCTAATGTTTTGTACACTCAATGTATAATACACTACTTTGACCAGTGTGTGTGTGTGTGGCAGGTAGGCCTTTGTCTAGTATCTACCCACTAATGATTGGGTTGACTGTTTTGACATATTTTCACACACTCCTGCCCTGTTATTTCTGGAAACACTATCAAATTATTTTACCCCTCTCTCCTGGGAAATGTGAAGTATTTGTTTGCACTACCCACTACCCTACAATTTCCTTTCTATACTCGACCTGGTTAACGATATGTTTGTGCTAAACATTTCACCTGACCCCTGATACCTACCTCACAGATGCATATTTTAACAGATCAATACATAGTTGCTGGAAGTAGTTTGGAGGTGGGGGTGCTGCGATTATTTTCGACAACGGGGGGTGGGGGTCCACTAATACAGGACTAGTAAGGGGCCAGTGCACTACTTTTGTGAAAACATTTAAACTAAATGCATTTATGACTTGAGTCTGATAATTGTATGTACAAGACAATTAATCTGATAATACTTGCTTGATACATTTTCCAGCTTCTTGAAATACTTTGCAAATGCAAATGGTCCATTCATTCCTTTTACATTTTAATAGATGCTCTTATCCATAGCAACTTTCAGTAGTGAGTGCATACATTTTTGTACTGGTCCCATGTGGGAATTGAACCCACAACCTTTGCGTTGCAAGCGCCATGCTCTACCAACTGAGCCACATCATCACATCACGTCATCACAAACCACTTGATGTCTCAATGTACTCAATTACTGTAAATAATGCATTGTTTTTCTTCCTGGTGATGGAAAGTCTACAGGCACCTAGATGACCAGCCTATGTACAATACAGTAATGTACATTTACATTAAGTTGTTTGTAAGGATGTTAAATTAATAATGCACAAAATGTGGTTGTTTTCTATGTTATTTGATCCAAAAATAATTATAATTTGATGTGGATGATTTGTACCTTTTTATGTAAATGTTTGAGGACAGGGTTTTGTTCTTTCTGGATTCCATTAGAATTACAATCACAGAGAAAGAGACAGGGCAACAACTCTTACAATTCCAACTATTGAATCTTGCAAGATACTGTTATTAATTATCCCTCTACCTTTTTTTCCAAAGTGGATATTCTCTTATTTATTTTTATTTTTTTATTTTTATTATTTATAAATGTTTAGCTTGGTAGTTAACGTTAGCTAGCGCTAGACGACTGTACCTGCTCCAAAACTCTGGTATTTGAAATGGTGAGACATTTTTATTTCCATGACTGATCAAAACTTGTTTTCTCATGGCTCTCGCTTGTCCCTCTGTAGCAGGCATATAGGGAGCAATATTTTTGTAACATCGAATTGCAATAAAATCGCAGTATCGAATCGCAATACATATAGAATTGTGATGAATTGTCATACCTATAGAATCGTAATACGTATCGTATAGGCACCTAACTATTGTGATAAAATCATATCGTGAGATCACTGCCAATTCCCAGCCCTACAGATCAGTGTCTTCATGACATGTTTCCGTTCTGTTGGCATTGCGATTAGGCCTACAGAGCCATAGTGAAAACCTACATAAACAGTGCATTCAGAGTTCATCAGAATATGATAGCAGTGTTCTGTTCTGTTCATTGTCCATGCTTGCTCCTTCCTGCTAAATTCCTGTCATCAGTGTGATATGTTGTTGAGTTTCATTGGTGGTACCCCCAGCCCAGCTATTTTCCATGACTCTTGTGGAAATTCTAAAGTTCAGAGGAGTGAGGTTGCAGTGTACTGGCCTTCTCCTAACCTCCAGTCCAGTCACCCACCTGACTGACGCCCCATTCCTGACTTGCAGTTATTTTGGACCTTTATAGTTTATGGTTAGTTCTTCAACTCCTGTAAAACCACTAGATGGCTACCTCAGGAGAAGGTAGTAGCTCCCTTATTCATACACCCCTGCATTCCATTCCACAGAGGGCTAGCAGGACAGACCTGCAACTTTCCTCTATTCTCACTCACTCCAAGTCAAATCAGCATTGCATCCTACTGCGCAGTGTTGATCTGATGACTGGAACTATGGGCTCACACATTTACATTTTTATTTACGTCATTTAGCACCCATGTCTCTCATGCGAAGACAGCTATGGTGACTTGCCCTAAGAAAACAAAACGATGGTTATTGGAAAGGCTGTTAAAGCTAATTTACATAAATGTATAATTGAACAGCCATATTTCAGGCCGGCATGACATCAGGGGGTTTCTGGTTAACAGCCAGCCCTGCTAGTGTTGCTTTCTAAATAGTAACACTATTATTACTATCAGTGTGTCACTCACTGTGAGTGTGACAGCATCACCTCTATTCATAGGGGTCTATTTATAGGTATTATGAAGTCAGTAGTTACATAATAAATACAAGCTAAACTAAGTACTAGCTTTTTGCACCAGGTTAAACAGTGCACACATCCTTGATCCTTTCTTTATTCAGCTGAATATGAAGATCACTTGAAAGTGTTGTATGCCATGCCATTCCCCTGAACTGAGGCTTTTAGTCAACACCTGCAGCTGAGAAGAAAAAAAACACTACATAAGAGAAATTACAAAAGGTACTGCAGCTGGAATTGTGCTGTGATCTCAGTGAAAAGTTTATTTGACCTAGCTGGTTGAAAGCAGAATGGTTGTTCAATGGCCCTGATTTCCACTGCCTTTACAGAGAAGCATTCTTAGTCCTGAGTCATGTGTTCCTTACAGGTAACTCAGAAACCTGCAGAATGATGCTCATAACTCACTGCATAAAATCCAAGCAAGCAAAGCAATTCAATGTTTAGTTCAGTTTTGTTTATTTCTCTACAAAGGTAGCTGTTGATGAACATTGCAACATCAATTAAATTCATTAAATTAACTCGAACATGAATTAAAACAAAACAAAGAAGTTAATGTTTAAGTCAATAAATTGGTTTGTCCTGACAATGACCTAAACAAGACCTTCCCTCCTCTTAATTTAAATAATTCTCAAAATCACAATTCAGAAATCATCAAGATCATATAAATTACAGTTGTGATGTATTTTTTCCATACTGTAAAACATTTCCTGTACAATGTACAGTAACTTACTGGCAGAAATTGGCCAGTAATTACTATAATTTATTTTACAGTACAACTACTGTAATCCATTTTATGGTAATACATTTTACGGTACCAACATTTTTACTGTAATCTAATTTACAGTATATTACTGGAATTACCCATGAAGCGACACATTACCCAGTGTTCTTGGCAAGTTTTTTTTATTTTTACATTTACATTTTGGTCATTTAGCGGGTACTTTTGTCCTTAGCAACATACAGTCAGTGCATTCAACCAAGGTTGATAAAAAAATATCACATTCATAACAAGTAAAACGTTTATTTAACCATTACTGAAAATGTTGTTGTAGTTAAGGATACATTAGTCTTCAAAATAATTGTAATTACAACAAGATATCTTATGATATATCGCTGACGATCTCTGGATAGTGTCAATACAATACTGAGATATTCATGGTAACTTGATGTCAGAGCAATGAAAAACAGTACAATACAGTAACAGCGACTATTAAACTGTAAGAAAATTATTTCTACAGTATTTTACTGTAATTACAAGGGATTAGAGCAAGCATGTTTGCAGTAGGTATTTGGATATTACAGCATATTAATGAATACTAGGTGTTTTATATCACTTGCACTTTGGGCCTTAACAAAGGCTTCTAAACTGACAGTGACGACAGGGCAAAACAGATCAAAAGGACATGGGTCACCACTCAACGATAAAAGGTTTGAGACTTGCTGCCACTCTGATCTGTCCCCTATATACATTGTATTGTTAGGGAACCACTACCACATACTGTATCACTTAAATTGGTACTCTCACTAACGGGTGCAACAAATATAGCTTCTTACAAGACACACATCAAAATATGTTAATGAGTGTGAAACAACAATATTACACATCCAATGCGGTATTGGTACTGTATTCTGAATTACAGTAAATGACTGGCAGCAATTGGTCAGTAAGTTACTGTAGAGTTTCAGGACAAGGTTTGTAGAATTCCTAATATACAGTATATTTCCGTATTCTGTGAGGGTACAGCATTCTCACCACGGGTGCAACAAATATATCCTCTTACAAGGCACGCCATAATATGTTAATTATCCAGAGACTCTTTCCCTGCCCACAACATTTTCCCACAATGCACCATAATGAATACTGTAAAACAAATGTACGGTATTTTACTGTGCATGCTACGGTAATCTACTGTATTTAGTTTATACAGTATCATACTGTTGATTAATACAGTAAGTTCCTGATAAAATTGCAAAAAAGTTTAACATGCAGAGTATATCCACATGGAAATTTGGTCCACTTTCGTTGAGGCATTATCTAACCTGTAGTCCCAGACTAGTCCAGGCTACTCCAGTCCAGTTCAGAAAACTCTAGTCTGGCTTAGTCCAGTCCTGTCCTTGAGTACGGTCCAGTCCTTGAGTCCTTTGAGCCTCCAGGAGATTCCAATCCCCTGCTGACTTGTGCACTCTGCTCTGCTCACCACCACGTGCTTCTGTCTGCTCAGCTGTGTGTCCTTACATGATTCAGCTTCCTGTAATGGCTTTCTTCCCGGCAGCGCCAGGGCACGAGGACAAAGTAATTCCAACAACCAACCGTTACCTTTGCATAACAGTCATACCATTGTTACCTTGGCAGTCCTGGAACCCAGAATGCTGAGTCACTCTTCCTCTTCCTCATCTCAAAACCTCAGCATAAAATCCACACTGATCCAGCAAGTTTTGTTGGAGTTGGAGATTTTCTTGTTGTTTTTGTTTTCTTGTCCTCCTTCCCCCTCCATCTCTCTCACTCTGTTGAATCAGGTTTGTTCATGAGAGGTCCAACAAAGGGGTTTTACACAAATCTAGTGCAGTGTGCTGTGTTTCCATATAAAGTGTACAACGTGGTTAGAGTCCATGCTGCTTGTTCATCGGTCAGGTAGGTTGATGATGGGGACCCACTGGTCCATTACTCGACTGTCTCTACAGAAGCGATTCACTTTGCTCAGAGCTGGGTCCTTCCACGTGGTCGACTTCTGTGAGGAGAAATGGAAAACAAAAACAGTTAGGCTAATGCTGCTTTATAAAAACGTATGCATTAAAATACAGACAAGTAGGCCTTATAAATGTATAACAACAACCCTAATCAGTTAGGCCTGAGGGTTCTATGCAAGTGAGATTATTATAACTGCACATGCAGTTAATCACCACACATCTAGCCTACTGCTATGCTTTCTAAACATATGCATTAAATAAAGGGATAAACAATTCTTTGTAACAACCATAATCAGAAAAGGGTTCTCTGCAACGTGTGAGCTATGGCCTGATAGTGGGCCTCACAGATCAGATCACTACTAAGGAAGTGTGTGAGCAGGGCATAAAAATGTCTCCATGCTGACTTCTGCAGTCTAAAAATCTCTCTGTAAACATGCTATCATTCATCATCTTTCACCTATGAGCTAAGCTTCATTTCCTGGAACGTGGGTTTGAAAAAGTACTAGTGGTCCACAGGAAGAGCAGGTAGAGTACACAGTGCTCTGCCAACTCAGCCACAAACGTCTAGGTTACGTCCCAAATGGCACCCTATTCCCTATATCAGGGGTAGGCAATGCTTATTGGTCATAGTATGGATATAGTTAGCATGCCAAAAGTTCCCGGATGTCGTACTACATTCGCCAAAATACGAAGTATACAAGCAGTGGACACTATTTCCGTGCTTTTAGGGCCCATAATGCAATTCTTTAGAAAATGGGTGTGGCTTCACAACGTTTTCAGATTTGAATGGTGGAAAATATGCAGCCGAAGTCCGACGAGAGCAGATACAAATTCATTGCTTTAACTAATTATGACAAATGTTAAGAAAATGTTGAGCAATGTAATAAAGTAATTACTTTTCAAATAAGTTACGTTACACGTTATGTTGGCTGACAATTTGTTAGCTACGCTATCCTTACGAACCACATAGCATATCATTACAGCATACTGTATGTACTGGTATGTTAGCTAGCTACCTAACGTTAGTTGGCTACTAATACATCGAACTTGCCAGTATATTTACTATATGCTATCTAACTAACTACCCAACTGTGTTCGTAAATTGCGTTTTGCTCTCGGAGCATTCAGAGCGCACACTGGACGCTCTGGCCGAGGAGTAGGGTTGAAAAAGGCAGTCAACTGGCTAACGTTGTCTAGCTAGCTACTTCCTGACAACAAATGAGAGAACAGCTCACTCTGACCATTTTACTCGCCCTAGCAGAGCTGGTTAGGCTGTTTACATGTTATCTAGAGCGTTAGTGACTAACTGTGCTGCTGGCAACAATTTAATTCCGCTTTTTTGCCCGGCCATATTCAACGGGTGTTGAGCGTTCGTAAATTAATCAGTTATTCTGCGCTCTTGCACACTCAGACGAGAGTGCTCTGAAATCGGAGTAGATAGCCAGAGTGAATTTACGAACGCAACCTATTGACTTGATTATTCACGTCATTCTTAGCTTAGCTAAGTGGTATAGTCGTTGTGCGTTCTTAATGGGCATTGTTAATGAAGTCGTAAGATGTCTAGCTAGTAATTTGTTATGCTAACAAGCTAGCAAGAAGTTGCATAGCAACAGCATCAACTTCCGGTAGACAATCTGGTCATCCCCAAAGCCAACACCTCCTTTGGCCGCCATTCCTTCCAGTTCTCTGGAACGAACTGCAAAAATCTCTGAAGCTGGATACTCTTATCTCCCTCACTAACTTTAAGCATCAGTTGTCAGAGCACCTTACCGATCACTGCACCTGTACACAGCCCATCTGAAATTAGCCACCCAACTACCTCATCCCCATATTGTTATTTATTTTGCTCATTTGCACCCCAGTATCTCTATTTGCACATCATCTCTTGCACATCTATCATTCCAGTGTTAATACTAATTGTAATTATTTTGCACTATGGCCTATTTATTGCCTTACCTCCATAACTTGCTACATTTGCACACACTGTATATATATTTTCTGTTGTATTTTTGACTTTATGTTTTGTTTTACCCCATCTGTAACTCTGTGCTGTTGTTTTTATCGCACTGCTTTGCTTTATCTTGGCCAGGTCGCAGTTGTAAATGAGAACTTGTTCTCAACTGGCTTACCTGGTTAAATAAAATGTATAATTTTTTTTAATCGAAGAGCTAGTACGCTCAACTGAAAGGATATTGTTTGTTTACAGTATACTAAAATGAACTAATAGTATATAGTATGTAGTGTATACTCATTAAGTATGTAGTATACAGTATGTTAGTATGGGTATTCGAACACAGCTCAGGTGTATTGAACTCATCAATTAGCTCAGTTGGTCAGGTGTGGGGCCTAGTTGGAACAAAATTGTGCAGTTCCTGGAGTGCCGCAGGTACTGCACGATTTCATTCCAACTAGGTTCCTACCCCTGCCCTATATAGTGCACTACTTTTGACCTGGGCCCACAGGGCTTTGGTCAAAAGTAGTGCACTATGTACAGAATAGGGTGCCATTTGGACATAGCCCTAGTAACTGGAGTCAGACCACACGCAGTACTGCAGCCAGCATAGGCTACATCAGACTACTAGGAAACCCACATCACAGACACAGACACACACTGCAGATCACACGGCTGCAGTCAGCTGGATCAAACTTCAAAGAGCTGAGCAATGAATGAAGACATAACTACCAAGCCAGATGTGGTGGCCATTAAAATCAAGTATTTGCATCCATCTAGGGCTAGGTCTTTCATGCTGTATTCAAAGCTCTTGACCTGCAAATCCTTAGCATCCATGAAAAATGGCATAATAACCTAGCTGGTATAATGAACTCAGTGCAGTCCAGGCTAAACGCGCCACACCCGCAGAGACCCACCTGAGGAACTGATATCAAGTCTAGCACTGTTTAGTAGATGAAAAGCCAGGGATATGGGAGTAGGAACAATGTAATGAAACGTACAGTAACTAGTACACAGTGCAGGTCCATGGGCTCTCCTCCAGGCTTCACTCCTCCAAGTATCTCAGCGAGGCGCCTCATGTTGCTGATCCGCAGGATGTTGATGTCATTCTCGCAGCAGAACGCCTGGATCAGGGTGAAGTGGATCTGTAGAGCCACGTCCTCGACCTGCTCCTCATCTGTGGCCAGGAGGCACAGTACCACATTATCCGGGTCCCTGATGAGTTAAATGTCAATACAATTAGCTACCTAATCAAGTAACATTACAGTAATAGATTCATGAATTTACTTCAGAGTAGATGTATTACTGCTTAATTGCAGAAGAATAATCTATTGAAAAAGAATGTAGCTACTTCATTCACTCCTCGTATTTAGTTGTTTCAGAATATACGTATTATTGGATAGTAGCTAACGTTATACCTGTAGCTAATAATCTTTTGCAATGTGCTTCACTTACACATTGAGTGCCTTTGCTGCCTCGTAGACTCCTACAGTGATGCAACCTTGAGGTAACGCAGAGCTGATGACATCCTCCAATGCTTTAGACACCGAATCCATCCTGAGGGTGCAAAACAATACGGAACCATACTGACACAAATATGCGACTTTATTGCTATTTAGTCAGCTTGCATCAACATAGAAACTAGCTATATAGGTTACTGTAACTAGCTAGCTAGTTAACTAAGTTAGATTGGACATGCTCGGGAAAACTCGTGCGCATGCAGGGAGACGAACAGGCTGGCTAGCCAAATCTGAAGGAATTTTTGCTGACGAGCTTGACAGTGCTCAAGCACTGACAATTGTAACAAGTTGCAAAGATAATCTTACCTTTCTGAAGAGTGTTCTCCACTGGTTTCCTCAAAAGTCATATTGCACATTGGAAAAATATCCACGTTGAAATCCGAATATTCACTGATGGTCTCTTTCCAGTAACATCCCAGTCAAGGTCGTGACTGTGTGTGTCTATATCTCTATTCTTTATGCATCTGACTCTCTCTTCTCACCGTTCGCGTTCCCACTCCCCCAGTCAACTGTGGAAACAGGAGTTCGAGCGCCTCATATTTGCATATCCAATCCCATTGGTCACATGCTAATTATCAAAGTGGTTCCCGCGAATGCGCAGCGCCCCACAATGTATCATCACATCGATGAAACTAGCGAGGTACACTGCGATATCTGGTGGCGAAAATATGCAAATGATAGGCTACCCAAACCAAGGACGATAACTGTAACGATAACTATAATGATAAACTATACATAACTATAAATCGTTGGCGAGCATCCACACTAGAGGAAAGTTTATCGTTCTATAGTACACCGGTCAATCAAATGATCCAACGCATCCTCTAGCCTACGCTGTAGGCCTATTGATAAGGCGGTAACACAGATATCTGGTCTTTCAGGGTGTGTTCCTTGTCATAGTGACAACTGCAAATAACACTTCAATGTACATGTAATGAAAAATAACATATACATTCATATTTAAATGTAGCAATTCAACAACAAAAGCCATTTAAGCATTTCACTGTAAGGTCTACACCTGTTGTATTCGACGCATGTGGCAAATACAATTTGATTTGATTTAGCCTGCGCATCTTTTACAGCATGTCATTGCTTGCCTTGTTGCTCAAGTGGTTTTCAAGTGGTTTCCATTTTTCTAATGTTTGTCAATTCGTTTAAATCTTATTTTTCATTGTGCTCATCTCTGTCTGTCCCGTGCAACCATTTGCAACACATGCAACAATGTTATCATTACCGGTCAAAACGATCACAACAATGCACTCTCTCGCCTCAACTTTCCCCATATTTTACATTCTGCTATTAGCAAGAGAAAGCATGCTTCTCTCCTCGAATAGGCTATTAGGCCTAGTATAAAACATGTTCAAATTAAATGTCCTATAGCGTTTGTAGCCTATAGACTTTCCTGTGAATTCACGAGAAGAGGATTAGTGGAGATGCTTGCATATACAGTGGGGAGAACAAGTATTTGATACACTGCAGATTTTGCAGGTTTTCCTACTTACAAAGCATGTAGAGGTCTGTAATTTTTATCATAGTTACACTTCAACTGTGAGAGACGGAATCTAAAACAAAAATCCAGAAAATCACATTGTATGATTTTTAAGTAATTCATTTGCATTTTATTGCATGACATAAGTATTTGATCACCTACCAACCAGTAAGAATTCCGGCTCTCACAGACCTGTTAGATTTTCTTTAAGAAGCCCTCCTGTTCTCAACTCATTACCTGTATTAACTGCACCTGTTTGAACTCGTTACCTGTATAAAAGACACCTGTCCACACACTCAATCAAACAGACTCCAACCTCTCCACAATGGCCAAGACCAGAGAGCTGTGTAAGGACATCAGGGATAAAATTGTAGACCTGCACAAGGCTGGGATGGGCTACAGGACAGTAGGCAAGCAGCTTGGTGAGAAGGCAACAACTGTTGGCGCAATTATTAGAAAATGGAAGAAGTTCAAGATGACGGTCAATCACCCTCGGTCTGGGGCTCCATGCAAGATCTCATCTCGTGGGGCATCAATGATCATGAGGAAGGTGAGGGGTCAGCCCAGAACTACTCGGCAGGACCTGGTCAATGACCTGAAGAGAGCTGGGAAAATAGTCTAAAAGAAAACCATTAGTAACACACAACGCCGTCATGGATTAAAATCCTGCAGCGCACGCAAGGTCCCCCTGCTCAAGCCAGCGCATGTCCAGGCCCATCTGAAGTTTGCCAATGACCATCTGGATGATCCAGAGGAGGAATGGGAGAAGGTCATGTGGTCTGATGAGACACAAATAGAGCTTTTGGGTCTAAACTCCACTCGCCGTGTTTGGAGGAAGAAGAAGGATGAGTACAACCCCAAGAACACCATCCCAACCGTGAAGCATGGAGGTGGAAACATCATTCTTTGGTGAGGCTTTTCTGCAAAGGGGACAGGACGACTGCACCGTATTGAGGAGAGGATAGATGGGGCCATGTATCGCGAGATCTTGGCCAACAACATCCTTCCCTCACTAAGAGCATTGAAGATGGGTCGTGGCTGGGTCTTCCAGCATGACAACGACCCGAAACACACAGCCAGGGCAACTAAGGAGTGGCGCCGTAAGAAGCATCCCAAGGTCCTGGAGTGGCCTAGCCAGTCTCCAGACCTGAACCCAATAGAAAATATTTGGAGGGTGCTGAAAGTCCGTATTGCCCAGCGACAGCCCCGAAACCTGAAAGATCTGGAGAAGGTCTGTATGGAGGAGTGGGCCAAAATCCCTGCTGCAGTGTGTGCAAACCTGGTCAAGACCTACAGGAAACGTATGATCTCTGTAATTGCAAACAAAGGTTTCTGTACCAAATATTAAGTTCTGCTTTTCTGATGTATCAAATACTTATGTCATGCAATAAAATGCAAATTAATTACTTAAAAATCATACAATGTGATTTTCTGGATTTTTGTTTTAGATTCCGTCTCTCACAATTGAAGTGTACCTATGATAAAAATTACAGACCTCTACATGCTTTGTAAGTAGGAAAACCTGCAAAATCGGCAGTGTATCAAATACTTGTTCTCCTCACTGTAGGCCTACCCTACAGCCTATGGCGCACGGGAACAGCTGCAAGAGAGAGGCTAGAGATGTGTAGAAGCTACATTTTAAGTAGATATTAGGCCATTAATTGTCTTAATATTAGGGCTATAATATAAATATATATATTTACCTGTCAAAGCGCAAGAAAGAAAGTTAACAGATAATGAAATGTCAGATCTGTATGTTCCTCAAGGCTGCACTCTACAGTCCCCGGGGCACGCAATGCGATTTTAGCATGTATATCTTGGTGGGGCAAACAACCTTTTTTATGGGGGATGCATAACAGCAAAGCCACTACACAACACAACACAACAGAAAACACAACAATACATTAATTGCACTATAACGGTGACAAACTGTGCCCACAAACTGTTAGGGCCTACATAAAGCTGTCCCAACTGTAGAGTCCCAACAGCAATCCCAACACCTTACCACTGCTACACCTGGCTATCTGCAGAGCCTTGTCTGGCAGCAAAACAGTTCATTCAGCCTCATTTACTGCCTTTAAAAAAACATAGCTGATATGTCTGACTTGCTTAAACAAATATGGTTTCTACTGACAATTGAGATGTAAAAACTATGGCATAAGGGGACGACAAGCGGATAAGAGGCAATCCATAATTTCGATTAAAACATTAATGAGCGATCTAGGACGGACGTAGTCAATATAACTATTTGTTCAGCACTTTTGAAATGTACATAAACAGAATTCAGTACATGGGCCGTTCTTACAGTGGATAAGCGGATAAGAGGCAATCCGTAATTTCGATTAAAACATTAATGAGCGATCTAGGACGGACGTAGTCAATATAACTATTTGTTCAGCACTTTTGAAATGTACATAAACAGAATATAGTACATGGGCCGTTCTTACAGTGGATAAGCGGATAAGAGGCAATCCGTAATTTCGATTAAAACATTAATGAGCGATCTAGGACGGACGTAGTCAATATAACTATTTGTTCAGCACTTTTGAAATGTACATAAACGGAATTCAGTACATGGGCCGTTCTTACAGTGTTCTCCCTGTACACCAAGTCAGAACCGTAGGATAAATAAAGGGGGCATATAAGCAGACAATGAAAGTTCTTACAATATTTGATGATTACATTTCTCTATTACTTTCTTAGCTACAGTATACAAATTACATATTTTATGCAGCAGCGTACTAGACATTTTTGGACTCACCTTGTTGTGGTGTGCTCACTTGAACAGGAAGGTGGCGTGGCGGTCCTTCGTGGGCAAATTTTGTCATCAAACTCTGTCATCAAAGTCTGGCATTCTCTGGATTTATGGTGCTTTCAAGACAACTGGGAACTCATGATGACGGTTGAATCATGATGACTTCAGTGATCTTCAGGTCGTAGCTCTAGAAAGAGGCCCCAGTTCCCAATTTACAATTCCGAGTTGGATGACCGTTCAAAACTTATTTTCAGAGTCGGAGCTCATTTTTTCCCTAGTTCCCAGTTGTTTTGAACTCATTGAAGTCAGAGTTACCAGTTCCGAATGAACAGTTGTTTTGAGCATGGCAGAAATCATGCTGGATTGACAGCATGGCCAATGTTGAATGTTTATAATTTTAAGCTTGGAAAAGAGACCCTTAAACCCAGAATTGGGACCACACACCCACTCCACTGAATAGCAGGCTAGTGATTGCTTTGCAATGCTTGCAGTTAGCCACTGATTCCTTCCAAACCACTCATTGTTGAATTTGAGATTTCCAATTTGTTGTGTAATGTTTATGTTCAATGGCGGATGAGCACCGATACGTTTTATCTATAATTTCTCTTCATAATTTTTTTTTGGGGGGGTAGATCAGCTTTAATATTGCAGATAGATTGTAACTTCCATCAATGTAATTGTCTGCATCACTTCCAATCCCCCATATGTATTTTTCCCCCCGCAAATATACGCTACCAGTCAAAGGTTTGGACACACCTACTCATTCAAGGGGTTTTCTTTATTTGTACTATGTTTTACATTGTAAAATAATAGTGAAGACATCAAAACTATGAAATAACACATATGGAATCATGTAGTAACCAAAAAAGTGTTAAACAAATCCACATTTATTTTATATTTGAGATTCTTCAAATAGCCACCCTTTGCCTTGATGACAGCTTTGCACACTCTTGGCATTCTCTCAACCAGCTTCATGAGATAGTCACCTGGAATGCATTTCAATTAACAGGTGTGCCTTCTTAAAAGTGAATTTGTGGAATTTATATCCTTCTTAATGCGTTTGAGCCAATCAGTTGTGTTGTGACAAGGTAGGGGTGGTATACAGAAGATAG